TTTATCGGTCAATGTAGTTGAAAAACGCGGGCGTCGGCCAATGTAGGCGATATATGCATACATTGGATTGTCAGGGATATTTTCCGGGGGTCTATGGAAGTTCACCACTGCCTATCTATGCAGGGGGAGTGTTCTAAAATTCATCCCCAGTATGTTGGCCATTTCCCTTTATCAAGTGTTTTCCGCGTTTGTTTCTCAACTTCTTTTGTGTTTTGTCCACAGTTTCCCACTGATTTGCACCGACATGTTTTGTCTTTTGCTCCCCTTACCTGGATGGGTCAATGACCAACCATTATTTTGGGTAATGGCTCCCAGCATTGTTTAAGGGTCAGATTCGGAGACTCCAGGTTATAACCATGGTTACAAGCAGGTTAACAACCCTAACCCCCTAACCCTAAACCCTAAACCCTAAACCGCCTAAACCCTAAACCCAAAATACCAACCATGTAAATACCAACCAACACTGGTGTCCCGTTGTTTCCAAGTGGTGCAGGATTTTGTCCAACCACAGTATGCAGGGGGAGTATCCCAAAATTCGGAGATCCGACTCCAGACTTGCAGCTCAGGCCGGCCGAGGAGGCGGCCCAGGTGTTGGGGCCCAGCTTAAGCTCGCTTCGGACAAAGATTTGGACTTTTTTTGGGGGCTTCGTCCTTTTTCTCGGTTCCCAGGCATCCGGTTCCTTGGCATTTGTTTAGCTTTTTCAGTGGTAGTTTCCATCCACCCCACTAAAAGATAGTCACTTTTAGCAGGGGATCCGAGGGCAGCCCAGGTTCGTCTCTCTTATTTGAGGGTCATGTTGACCCCATATCAACCAACCAACTGCAGAGCGGACCCGAGACTCCTTGTAGCCCAAGTCTGCCTCGAGGACAGTCCACCCCTTCATTTTTTGGCTATTGACCCCATGTTTTAAGGGTCAGGGAAAGTCCAGGTGCCCCTTGTTGGGTGGTTTTAAAGGAACACTCAAAGGAAACCCACCAACTTGAGGGTGGAGGGGGGGTCCCCGAAAAAGACTCTAAGCACATCTTCTTGAAGAGAAAAGGGGAGCCAAGAATTGGGAGCTAACATGCGCCCCCAAATCCGGACAGGCAGAAAAGATGCAATCGGTCTGTTGGGGGTCCAGGAAGCCGCCGAGTGGCTGGATCATCTGCGAAACAGCACAGGGGATTTAGACCTTGAATTGCTCAGACTCCCTACCCAGAGACTCACGTTCCGGGATGTCATTTTTTTGGGCTGGACCATCCTCTTTCGGAAGTGAGGAGAAGGACATCGTTCCAGAGCACCAGAGAACCTTTGCGTTTCCACCCCTCACCAGCTGCGCTTAGGTTACAGCTTCAAAGCTGAGCAGTCGAGCATGCTTGAATTGTAGGGACGGGGGGGGTGTTAGGCCCACTTTCTGTGATACCAACAGATTGTTTTTTAATACAAATGTTGCAAGTAGTCACAAGGATGGTCCATGCTGGATACTTTTGGCATCACAGAAAGGGTTGTTCCCACAATCATGCACAACCTCCAGAGATCTTACCTTCCTGATAACGATGACACACCCGGAAACTACTGGTGGTCGTGGTTGAAGATGGAAAATTACATCAACCCTTGTCTATCGAAGGAAAAGTGTATGGTCTTTCTTAAACCTGGTCTCCTCTTGGCGGTATGCATTCCTAAGGTCGGGGGAACCCAACCCAGACGGTTTCTTGTCACCTTCTAGATAGGTATGGAACGACCCCTTTTTACCCCCCCCCCCCCCAAAGCCATGCTCAGGAGGTACCTTAAAGGGATTTGGTGGGAAACCAAAAGGGCGGAGCTTTGGGGATCGGGTCAGAGGCCCCGGCTGCCAGCTCGGAGATCTCCGAGCTGCGCGCAGAGGCTGGTGGTTCGGTGCGGGGGGTTGGTGGGGGGGAGGTGGGGGGGGGAGGGTCTCCCTTGGGGTTTCAAAGCTTGGTGGCTCCCAGCCATCCGGCTCCTTAGCCTTTTTAGCTTTTTCAGTGGCAGTTTCCATTTATTCCCCCAAATTGTTTATAACTTTTCGCGGGGATCTGAGGGCAGAGTCTGGGCGACTGGGCTGGGCGACTGGTGGAAGGAAACCAAATCACGGCAAGAGAATCGAGATCTGATCAGGTCCCCGATTGTCCTGTTAGACTGGGTTCTTTAAGGGCCCCCAAAAGTAACCCTCCCCCGGACTCTGGATAACACCATATTTGAAGTTTCTAAGTTTGCATTTAGCTCTGTCTTTGCATTGAACTGGTTTTCTGTTGGGTCTCCTAACAGAAAACCAGCAACCCTTTTCATCATTCAATGGGGTCCCGGTTCGCAATGCTGTGGTCCTGTTGATGTGCCTAGCATCCCTCAAACGACACGCCCATGAGTTGTTAGCTCGTGCTTAATTGATGTTGATGATGATTTGCTTAAGCATCAACTTGCAAACAGGGTTTATCCACATTGATAACGTTTCTCTTAAGCAGCAGTTTGCAAAAAGGGTTGATCAATATTGATATGACGAATCATGGGTGGCTGAACAAACCTGTCAACTGTGGAACATGATAGTTCTCCCACTGGCAAAACGCACGTGCGCCTTTCTTATGTCTTTGCTTGCTTGCTAGCTTGACTGCCTGCGGTTTGCTTTCTCGTCGAGTGATGGTGTGTGTGTGCGCTATGCTGTGAATGTCTTCTTTTGAGGGTACCCCGGTTTTGATGGCTTTAGAGGGACACCAACAAACAAAACCTTTTTGCGAAGTCCCCAAAAAAAGAAGACCCACTTCTGTGCCGCTGGCATTTTTTGAGTGCCAGGAGACCCGACTCGGCCCCCATTGAAAGGCTTATTGAACATACTGTGGATGGACATCATCCTTCTCGGGATTCTTAGGTGTTGCATTCGTCCATCCACAGTAGGAATATGTTTTTCCCTAGAAACATGTATGTAGGCGAAAAAGGGGCTCCCCAAAAGGAGTTTCCTCAGGTCCTCCACCACTGGCAGTCATGTATTCTTTATTCTAGGGGTTGAGTCCAACCATTCTTTCAACCATCGTTCTGTTCAAAAAACAGCCGTTTTGCCCGGGATTCCGGCAGTTTTCTAGAAAGAAGGATCCCTGGAAAGAATGGGGAAGGTACCCCTGGATTTATGTCAATCTGCAGGTGAGTCAATGATTCGGGAGCTGCATGTCCCAAGCTCCCCTCGAGTCTTTTGTTGGGACACATTTTACATTTTTGCTTATTGTGGTCCAGTGGGAAATCCCCACTCAACTGCTAAACAACTTTGTTTGCTCCCCTTCCAATGTCAACCAAGTTATCTGAAAAACTGTCAGGTGAACAGCCTCCGGTCGCAGCTGGCACAGGCGGGTGAGTTTGTCGGCTACGAGCACCTGCGTTACATCTGTGGATGTGCTCCTGAACATTTCATGGGGGCTGAGGGGGAGGGAGGGGGGGGGGAGCCCAAATAAACACCCTAAATGAGGCCTTAATAAGGGCTTCATAAGGGCTTAAATCGGGCTTATTTGGGCTTCCCTCCCTCCCCCACAGGCCCCATGAACATCGGCATCGCTGGGGTCTTCTCCAAGATAGTTCTATGTGGGAGTGCTTTTGGTTTACGGGTACCGTTTTTTTTTGGTTTGAACACCGTTTGGACAACCACCAATTTGCGGGGGTCCCCGAAAACAAGACACACCCATCTTATGGCCGAATACGAAGCATGATATGAACATCCCCATTTGGTGTACCACGAAATTGCTGGGAGGAGTTCTAGTCGTTGCATTCCCCCTGGGTGATTGTTCATAAGCCAGGCACGCGATCGCTGCCTCTCTTTGGGATGATGGCACGGCCTGATGTGCGGTTTCCCCATCCACGCTAAATGCAGGTAAGAATACCGAAGGGTTTCCTACAAAAGTGGCGCTTGCACCTGGAAGTACTAGGAGAGCTGTTCCTTTGGGGGTTCCTTTGGGGGTTGTAAAGAGCCAAAAGGAAACTAGCAATCTTTCTAGGGGTTGATTCCGATTCCATTCTTTTCAACCATCGTTCTTTTTAAAAACCGGATCTGTTTCCAACCTGGGTTTTGAATGGTTTCCTGAAAAGATTCGGATCCCTGGGTCAAGAATGGAAATAGAAAGTCCCAGTAAAAAAAAAGTTTCGAGCGGTTCCCCTGTTTCCCGTGTAAAGTGACTCCACTTCGGTTTCCTGGCACTCGTGTTTATTTCTGACCAACGCGGAAAACACAAAAAAAAACCTCGCGGAACCCAAGGGTCCCAAATTGGCTTAAAAACCCCACCCGAAAACGCGACCGAAGGCGCGAGAAAAAAAAACTCTTTGCGGAGGTTCAGGAACAGCGCGCGTTTTGGGTGTTCAATCAACTTCGTATGCAGGTTATAGCAATTGCTATAAGCGGAGAAGCTGGGCTTAGTTTCCTTATAAGTGTCCTTATCACCTGCTTACTAAGTTGATTGAACCGCCAAGCAAACCCGCTTTCTGCTATAGCCATTTTTGGGGGCTCCTTCACTGGCATATATTTTGGGGTTGACATTCATACGAAACATACTTTGAAGGTAATTATCCATTTGTGGAGCTCCCCAAATGTGGGCCAAGAATTGTGCAGAGGGATCTACTACCTTGTACGAGTAGAACGAAAGCAAGCCCCATGTATACCGTCATGACAGTATGGACAAACCGCAGGGGACTTTGAGCGCAAGATGATGCAAGATGATTTCCCGCGAGCTGTGCAGGCCCCGTGTGTTTTTTGTTGTTCTTGGAAGACTACTTGGGTCTCCATGACCACTTACTCCAAGAACCACATCTTGCGCTTTGTAGCATCTCACTTCCCAAGTTCTTGGACCCGATTCTTCTTCTTGGCAAGACCACTTTAGAGGCCACAAGGTGTGGCTACTTCTTTTGGCCAATCCACTCCTTCGGAAGTGGGTCATCTGCCATTGTTTGGGTTCTTTCTTTTGGTGCGAGTTGTTTCTGTGCCGACGGCGGAACAACTCGCTGGGCCTGGTGGACAACTTGAGCCTCCAGGATGAGCTGGCCATGGCATGATTGGCATGGCAAGGGGCATTGGCACCATTGGCATCATCAGCTCCCCAGTTGCACGTGGGTGTCACAGTCTTTGCTTTGCTTGTGATCGAAAGGTTTTAGGGTTCTGGTTCTCCAATGTTAGTTTCGTTACTTTATGGTGTTCAAAGCGATTCGACCCTTTGGACCCTTTGGTTTTCCCATGTTGGTCCATTAGTCATGGCCTCAAAGGGTTCAACAAGGAGTTCCAGGTCCCATGGGAGCAACGGAGATAAACATACCACGGGCGCCACCGTGGTTTTTGTTCCCGACGCTTTTGAGGCACCATGGCCGAGATTGGTCTCATGGGTGGCCCAAGTGGCACGGCCATCAGGAGCGGGGCCCACACCCGTGTTGGACCAGGGTGAACGGAAGTTGACTCAAACCTCCGGTCCCCTGGTGGTTTTTTTGGTTTTTTTTTGAGCCATCTCCGCATTTTTCCCCTTGGCTTGAAACAGAAGGCCGATATGGGTTGTCAATCCTTGAGATTTGCTTCGAATCTCGTTGGTACGGTGATGGTTTGGTATGAGCAACGGACGGGGGTTTGATTTGGGGTGGGCCCCTCGGTGGGTGGGCCTCCGATCGGTTTGGCCATGACCCACACTCCTTGTGTTGACCGTGGCGACCCTGAGGACTGGCATCATTGGCAGCCGTGGCACGACTGGAGCGACTGGAGCTGGCACGAAGACAAGGGCAAAGGCAAGGGCAAGGGCAAGACGTTGGATGCGGCAACGCTGGCTCAGCAGCTCAGGCGAATCAATCTGAAACTGATGGCAGTTTCAACCAGTTTGGGAGATCACTCCTGTTGGGGCTCTTTTCAAAGAGGTTCTGTTATGGCTGGTAAATGCATCATCATGTATCCTGGCACCTAAAGTAAATGCCTTCTCATGGTCCGTTATTTGGCGTGAGTCTTTCTGTTTTGTGAGTTCCTAAGATCTGTCTTTTGTGTTTTTTGTGTGAGTCTTTTGACATGACTCAGCTGGGTGTGTCCTTTTTCAGGGGACCCTCCGCAATGGTGGTTTTGCTTTTGACTTTCCTTTAGAAACACCAAACAAGTGGTACCCTCAAAAAGACACACTTAGTTGTGGTTTCCTCCAGATCTGAAAAATACATACCCAAGACATCCCTTTGGTTGGCTCGCTTGAGGAACAGTCGCGTGTCCGGATCTCCAGTGGTGTCTTTTCTTCTTTTCGGACGGAGGGTGTCCGTTTGAGAATGTGACAGATCGGGGGTGTGTACTCGTTCCTGAGAGTTGTTGTTGAGCCTGCAGCCAGGAGCAGGTGCCTCTAACATGAATTGAACCCCGAATTGAAGTTGCGCGTGTATATTTATATAGACACATACTATCTCTCTATAAATATATGTATATGTATACATATATATATATGTTCACATAAAAAGACCCATTGGGGTGTTACGTTTCAATACCCACATTTGTCCAACACTCACTCATTGATTTGGGTATGGGTCAAAATTACACCACCCAGGCGACCGCAGGCTGTAGTCCTTGCTATTTCTATAACAGGGTTCCATTTTGGGCGCCTATTTTTGGCCCATACCCATTTATATACCTAGATCTTCTTTGAGAACAATTTCCCAACATTTTCGTTAAAAAGCAAAAAAAACGCGCATTGTTGGAAAACACGCTCATTTACCAAAAAAAACACACATTTCGGTTCGACCAGCCATGTTCAAAACAAGTTGGTTTTGGGCTTTCCGCCGATTTCCGCTCATTTTCCGCCGATTTCCGCGCATTTTCCGCCGATTTCCGCGCATTTTCCGCCGATTTCCGCGCATTTCTGGTGGCCAAATTTGCAGGATTTGCCACAAAATGGGTGCGGAACATGAAATTTGCAGTTTCCGCGTAGATTTCGGAAATTCCGCTCAATTGGCAAAATGAGCAAAAATAACGTAATGAGCAAAAAAAAATGTTCCTTTTTGAGGGTCCAGGTATACACACATACTATCTATATATTAATAATATATAATATATATATATATATATATGGTCCCGTGTTCCGTGTTGCTACCCCCCCTCCCCCCCCCCAACTATGGTATGGGTCCTCCAGGACCCCCCCGCCCCCCAGCCCGAGACCCCGAGCCCCCGGATCCTGGCACCTACGGTCCCGACCCCCTGAACTCGCACCCCCACCCCCAGGACAAGCCAACCCGCAACCAACCATAAACCAACCCTAAATACACCCTAAACCAAACCCTAAACCGTAAACCTCTAAACCTAAACCAACCCTAAATCAACCCTAAACTAACCCCAAATACACCCTAAACCAATCCCTAAACAATAAACCCTAAACTTAAACCAACCCTAAACCAACCCTAAACTAGCCCTAAACCAACCCTAAATACACCCTAAACCAAACCCTAAACCGTACATCTCTAAACCCAAACCAACCCTAAACCAACCCCGCATCAACATAAACCAACCTTAAGCCAACCCTAAACTAAAC